TAATTATTAATATTATTATTATTATTATTGTTACTTGTAAGATTACTATTACCATTATTATGACAACTACCACTACTGGAACTCCCAGGTGGGGTTTTTGCTAGCTTCTCCATACCGGGCGCTTCCCCAGGTGGCAAATAGGGGCATCCTCATAAGATATGAGGTAACGATGGGCAGCTGGGGTGACTTTCTGTGGTGATGGTCGGGGCGTGGATTAGGAGCCGTGTGCAGCGTTGACATGTGTATCTGTGGCGGTGTGGACGGAAGACTCGTGCCCTGTGTCGTCATCAGTGGAGATGCATGGGCCGGCCCTGCTTGGGCTCATTGTTCTTCGCTTTCTACTGCCGCCATGGGTGGCGCTCCGATGCTTGATGCGGGCCAACAAAAACGAGCACCCGTCATGTATAGAAGTAAGCGGCGGTTATAACATTCTTCTCAGATACATGCATCACACTCTCACTAAACAAACACAGGAACACTGACGGATTGTTCCGAGTTGCGGGTGGTAGGTCCTTTCCCGGGCTTGCGTTAGACGCCTGGCGGCAGGTGAAGCCAGACGATGAGGGCCAGGTAAGTCTGAGTAACCACATCTGATATGGCTGTACGCCTCATAAACAAAAAAGACGTGGTAGGCCGACTAATCTAGGCTTACTACCACTGAGGAGGCTATATAGCAGCACCTTAGTGCCTTACGCCAGCTCGTTTTGTTGGGTTGTCTGCACAGCCGTGGGACTGTACGTTGCTGCTCGTCTCGCTGAGATGACCATAGTGTACCAACATATTTATACATTACTCATAAACACCATTCTTAGACTTGTTACTTAACGCCAGGGCAGTCTCTGCGGATGGGACTGAGGGAGAGTAGCGGTTCTCTCTGGTAACAGAGAGGGCTGCTGCCCTGGTTTTAACCCTTTCTAAATATTTATTTTTAGAAAACAGGGTAGTGCTGGCCTTCGCGGGTCAGTGCGACATTAAAAAAGATGCCAAAATGAAAAACGTCGATACAAAACTTGTACCCCAAGCGGTAACCTCTCTGAGAGAATTCGCCGGCAGTTCCGATCCGGTGAAAGCCCGGGTGACTGTCGCAGGCCCCACGGATTCTGAGGGGGGGCACAAAGACGTGTCTCATGGCCATCAGGGACTGCTTAATGTTCCATGGCCCTTTTTAACGGACAAAGGACGAAGAGAAAGCCTGTCGAGCATAGGCACTAACGACACCGATGACAGCAACGTGTCAGTATTTAGCCACCGGACCCAGGAGGAACTTGCCTCTTTAAAGGAAAATGGTGCAAAGCTCAGAGCAAAGCGACAGCAAGTGGCTGATAAAGTCCAATCAGCAACGAAAGATATTACAGAGACGCTACAATTATTCAACGATAAGTACGGCAGCACAGCGAACGCTGTTAAGGATGGGCTCAAAGCCACGCTTAAACACCTTCAAGAGGCAGAGGTGCTAAGAAAAGGCTTTATTTATGAAGAAGAAGTGTATGCAAACGCTTGAAAGTCGTCATTCGAATCTCTGCAGTGGAGGGAACAGAGGCAAGATAATTTACGACGGCATTTACAGAAGAGAACCCTGATCACTGCCCTAAAGGAAATAGAACGAAGTAAAAGAAGCAGGAGCCCATCGGACAGTTCTGAGAAACGCCAGCAAACTATGCCTCCAAAGAAAAAGAAAACAAGACAGTGGCAAACAAGAAGAAATTCTTCTGAATGAAAAAACAAGCCAGAAGAAAAAAGTGGATACGACAACAACAGTAGTAGTGAAGATGGCCGAAAGGCAGACCTTTGCAAAGGTGCTGAGGACGATGAAGGCGAACTTTGACCATGATAAGGCTAATGTGGCAGTCCAAAGTGTTGTCACTACAAGAAAAGGAGACATACTTATTAAGGCCAAAGGTGTAGAGAATGCTACTGCATTCTCCCAGCAAATTGAAAAGTCGGTAGCCAGGCAGGGTACTGTCAAAATGAGCAACAAAAAAGTGACATTAGAGGTCCAAGACCTGGATGCTATTGCAGAGCAAGATGAGGTCAAAGAGGCTTTCGCTAGGACTTTTGGACTTACGAGCCAGGAGCCAGAAGTAGCTCTCTTAAAGCCAAATGCCAGAGGACAGAGGCTAGCGTTGATAAAGGTGGATGAAGCAACTGCCAGACAAGTAGAAGAGGAAGGCAGATTACGAGTTGGCTTCGTAAGCTGCCGAATACGAAGAAGAATTGAAGTAACAAGATGTTACAAATGCCCGGGATATGGAGACGTCTCAGGCAACTGAAGAGAAGAAAACAGATCAAAGCTTTGCTTTCAGTGTGGAAGCTCAAACCACCGAAAAAAAGAGTGTCCAGGCCCAGCACGGTGCTTCCTTTGCCCGACGACGGACAACAAGCACGAAGCAGGCAGTGGGAGCTACCCTTCATTCAAAAAAGCGCTAGAAGATGCCAGGGGTAAGGCCCAAGCAGGACGAAAATAAGGCAAAAAGGCTCTGATCTAAAAGTCAGGCTAATGTGGACCCACGCTGAGCTGGGTAATTTTTACCTATCAGCAAGGGAAGGCATCAAGCTGATAGTGGTGCTTGCTAGGTTAGCGGCCTACTATAGAGCGCTAGAAAGGGTGCTGGTCCTCAGGGACCCCGAGTCCTTTTCAGGACTCGAGAGCATCAGCACCTCTAGCAAATGGGGGCAAGTTAGCTCGTTAATGCTGTGAGACGCGATGATATGCCTGGTGGCTCCACCCTGAGGTAATGCTAACGCGGTTCTAGGGTGGATCAAAAGCCACGCGGCATGGGGGGGTTTTAGTGGGTATGGGTGGTCTAATAAGAAAAATCCACCTAGTCATACACTACCCGGTGTCCTCAATGCATCCCCCCCCTCAAAAAAAAAAAAAAAAAAAAAAACCACTACAGGAACTACTGTTGTTATTACTTTATTATTTTTGTTGTTAAAACTACTACCACAACTAGAATTACTGTTATTATTACTACGATTATTATATTTGTTAGTATAACTACTTTTACTACTAAGCCGATTGATTACCATATTAACTATTATTATTGTTTTTACTACCACCGCTACAGCTAGAACCATTATTATTATCATTGTTTGTATTATTTCAAGTACAACCATTTTTACTGTTTTTATCATCACCGGTATAATTACCACCATTTCTATTTTTTATCATCAATTTAGTATGCTCGCTCTTTTGTTGATAACTAGCATTGGTTTAGAAATATCTCTCTCTAGTCTGTTGGGCTGGGAAGAGGACTTTCTAAAATTTACAAACTATAACGTGCTCGAACTTTAGTGGCAGCCCCAAATTATGCAAGGATGTGACCTAGAAATCAAGCTTTCCCGTTCGATGATCGCTTACCCGGTTCGCACTCGGAACCTCTTCCCAACACCCCTACATTGCGTGTACGCAAGAATGGCGCCTCCGCATAGACCCATGTGAAACCGTATATAAGGCCCGAAGCATTCT